GTTCACTCAAATAGTTGCACCTAAAAAGGGACTTAAAAAAGTGTCATGCAAACAGTGTCATTAAAGAGAGACACGAGATAATGACAATGGGGGTCCAATCAATGACATCATGTAATGCCCCCTTGATAGTGCTCAAGTAGTATTAGTAAAGAGTGACAACAATAAATTGACCTTAAATGATGACAATATATATTTGTCCACTCAAAGAATTGCACCTAAAGAGGGATTTGTAAATTTGTCATGCAAACAATGTCTCCAAAGAAAGACACGAAATATTAACAATAGAGGTCCAATCAATGGTATCATGTAATGCCCCCTCAATAGTGCCCAAGTAGTGTCAGTAAAGAATAACAACAATAGATTGACTATAAATAATAACAATATATATTTGCTCACTCAAAGAGTTGAACCTAAAAAGGGACTCAAAAAATTGCCATGTAAACAGTGTCACCAATGAGAGACACAAGATAATGACAATGAGGGGTTCAATCAATGACATCATGTAATGCCCCCTTGATAGTGCCCAAGTAGTGTCAATAAAAAGTGACAACTAAACCATTATTTGATATTACTATTTTTTTTTTGAGCGTGTTACTATTTGATATTATTATTTTTTTGTTGAACGTGTTACTATTTGATGTTACTATTGTTTTGTTGAACGTGTTACTGTTTGATTTTACTATATATGTGTGTGTGTGTATATATATATATATACACGTGTGTGTGTGTATATATATATATTTANTGGTGGTGGTGGTGGTGGTGGTGATGGTGGTAGGTGTGGTGGGGGGTGGGTGGTGACAATGGTGGGCGGTGATGGTTGGTGTGGAGGGGGTAGGTGATGTGGTTGGCGGCGATGGAATGCGATGACGGGTGATAGTGGGTGGCGGTGGATGATAGTGGACAATAATGGTTATGGTGGGTGTTGACGGTGGTAGTGGTAATAAATATTAGAACGAGATGACAATAGTAGTGGGTAAACAACAGGGGTAGCAATTGGTGGTGGATGACGATGGTGGTGGGGATAGGGTGGCGATGGGGCATGGCGGTAACAGTGACGACGGTGGGGGTGACAGCAGTGGTGGGGTGACGATGGTGGTGATAAATGTGATGCTCATGGGAGTGGGGCAGTGGGGGTCGTGGTAGTGGTAATGATGGTGGTGGTGATAGTGGGGTGGCAACAGTGGTGGAGTGGTAGAGCGATGGGTGTGGTGGTGGTCGTGGTCGTGGTGATTATTGTGGTAGAGGTGGTGGTTGATTGGGAGCGGTGGCAGTAGTGGTGGTAATAGTGATGGTCGTGGGGGTGGTGGTGGGGCGGTAGGGGGTGGTGATGGTGTTGATGGCAATGGTGGGGGGGTGGTATGGTGGCGACAACGGTGTTGGTGATGGGGGGTGTGGTGGTGGTGGGGGGGTGTGGTGGTGATGATGGAGTGGTGGTAGTGGTGATGGTTGTTGTGGTAGAGATGATGGTGGGATGTTAGTAGTGGTGGGGGTGATGGTGGGGCGGCAAGGGGGAAAGGGTAGTGGTGGTGGTACTTGTGGTGGTGAAGTGGCGGCGATGGTGGTATTGGTGGGTCGATTCCAAACACTATTTTTTTTTTTCAAATACTTATTAAAAAATCACCCTAAACATATCCTTAGAAGCACATTTTCACTATTAAATTTGTGGTATTAATATTAGTTGTCGGACTAATTTTAAAATAAAAATTTTTTAAAAAAAACTTAACCTTGAAAAGTAAAAATCATTTTGTTTATCTTTTGAAATTTGAATTATACTGTACTTTATTATATAAATAGTTATTGTTTGTAAAGGTACGAAGTAATAAAAAAATAAGAGAATTACATCCAAAGCCCCTAAAATTTGTGACTTAACCACTTAAACCCTTAATATTTGAAATATTACATACAGACCTCCTAAGGTTTACACGCGTAATACTTATACTCCTCCCATCAATGTACGTTAGTAAATTACATCAAAACCCCTTGAAATTTGTAGGCGTGTAATATAATTTTTTAAGAAAAAAATTAAATTTTTATTTTTGATTTTTGGAGCTGGGGCTGGGGGCGGTGGAGTGGTGGTGTCATAGTGGTGAGGCAGTTTCAAACACTATATTTTTTTTTAAGTGCTTATGAGAAACACTTTTTGAAAATTCATCACAAACACACCCTTATGAGACTTATTTTCCCTATTAAATTTGGGGAGTTAATATTAACTGTCGGATTAACATTAAAATAAAATTTAAAACAGTTTGGACCGCGAAAACAAAAATCATTTCGTTTATTTTTAAGATTTGAATTGTGTTATACTTTTTTATATAGATATATATTTTTTTAAATTGAGAATAAACAGAGTTATAATAATTGTATTATTGAGATGAATTTAATTATTGTATTATTGAGATGAATTTGTGCTAAAATTATTGACGATGACATAAAATTGACTCCAATTTTTCTTGTGTAAATATCAACTCAATTTTAACTCAATCAGTTTAATGGAGTTAAAATTAAGGTATACTCTGAGTGGTTATACAATGAAATTGCATCGAAATTATAGTTTATTTGATGGATTAAACATAGTTTTTTTACATGTGGTTGGAGGAATTTGAATTTTTTTTTTTTTAATTTTATTGGAAACAAATAATACAACCTAACATATAGTCTGAATTTCTTACTACGCCATACTTCGACCCTTCCTTAATCTAACTTTCTAGTTTTGTTTTTGTTTTTGAGTTTTGATTATAGATACAACTTTTAGTTTGAATGGTTAAAAAGTAGTTATTATGGGCCTTTTGTTTATTGCGTTTGGACAGGTTTGTAAAAAGTGTTTATTGAGATCCAGTACTTAACCAATAGTTGTAAAGAGGTTTATTGGAATTCAGTACCTATTCAATAATTATGATGAAGAAAATAACAAATATTGTCAATATTTTTGGTCCAAATAAAATTTCTCTTAACTAAAATAATCCAATAGACCAGTCATAATTTAAGGCCCAAAATTCAAGTCCTAGCCAATGGTGAACAGTGTTGGTCAAACCCATTTACATGGTTTTCACCAAATCCAAAAGAGTGAGTTCATATCTACTAGCCCAGGACAAATATGAGAATTGTCCATCGTAACTCTAATAAATTAGGGGTTTAAGGAGGCCGGTATCTCCTTAAAAATTTAATAGGATAAAAGTACATTTTTTAAAATTATTGGGATAGAAATACATCTACTTAAAAAAAAGTCATAAATTCTCTTTTACCCCTACTATAAATAGTGCATACATAATTGAATGTGAGATTTTCAAGATTAGAATGTGAAAATTTCAAGATTCCTTTTTATATATGTGTATCATTTAAATTTTAAATTTTAAAATTTCATGTATATATATATATATATTTGCCCACTCACAGAGTTGTACCTAAAGAAGAATTCAAAAAATTACCAAGTAAATAGTGTCACCAAAGAGAGACACGAGATAATGACAACGGGAGTCCAATCAATGACATCATATAATGCTCCCTTGATAATGCCTAAGTATTGTTAGTAAAGAATGACAACAATAGATTAATCATAAATGATAATAATATATATTTGTTCACTCAAATAGTTGCACCTAAAAAGGGACTTAAAAAAGTGTCATGCAAACAGTGTCATTAAAGAGAGACACGAGATAATGACAATGGGGGTCCAATCAATGACATCATGTAATGCCCCCTTGATAGTGCTCAAGTAGTATTAGTAAAGAGTGACAACAATAAATTGACCTTAAATGATGACAATATATATTTGTCCACTCAAAGAATTGCACCTAAAGAGGGATTTGTAAATTTGTCATGCAAACAATGTCTCCAAAGAAAGACACGAAATATTAACAATAGAGGTCCAATCAATGGTATCATGTAATGCCCCCTCAATAGTGCCCAAGTAGTGTCAGTAAAGAATAACAACAATAGATTGACTATAAATAATAACAATATATATTTGCTCACTCAAAGAGTTGAACCTAAAAAGGGACTCAAAAAATTGCCATGTAAACAGTGTCACCAATGAGAGACACAAGATAATGACAATGAGGGGTTCAATCAATGACATCATGTAATGCCCCCTTGATAGTGCCCAAGTAGTGTCAATAAAAAGTGACAACTAAACCATTATTTGATATTACTATTTTTTTTTTGAGCGTGTTACTATTTGATATTATTATTTTTTTGTTGAACGTGTTACTATTTGATGTTACTATTGTTTTGTTGANGTGACAACTAAACCATTATTTGATATTACTATTTTTTTTTTGAGCGTGTTACTATTTGATATTATTATTTTTTTGTTGAACGTGTTACTGTTTGATGTTACTATTGTTTTGTTGAACGTGTTACTGTTTGATTTTACTATATATGTGTGTGTGTGTATATATATATATATACACGTGTGTGTGTGTATATATATATATTTATGAAATTTCAAAATTCAAAGAATACACAAATATCAAAAAAAATATTGAAAGTCTCACATTCTAATATTTAGATATTGGAAATATAAAAGTTGTCAATTAGGTATATACTATTTATGGTATGGATAATTATGAAATACATTTTAGAAAGAATTTAAAAATGTTTTAAAATGTATACTTATTGACAACTATTTGATGAAAAAAAAGACTTAAAGGAGGATAAGTTTGGAGATGATACTTAAAGCCAAATAAGTTTTAAAAAAGGTACTCACATCCCATTATCTCTGGATTATCCTATCCATTCAAATCACGTGTCAACTCCTAACTATTACCCTCTCTCTTGGACTTAAAAATACGAGTATGAATTAAATTGGTCAATAAACAATTTAATTAATGAACAATATTATTGAAATTTAATTTATTGACTGTGAATCTCATCAAACATTAAAATTTGATGTTGATTTAATGGTTTCAATGAAACCAATTAATTAGATCAAAAAATTACATTTAAATATCATTACTTTTAATCAATTACAAGATAATTTTTTGTTATAATTGTTATCCATGGTTTGCCCATCACCCATTGACCAATGGGCTTTCAGTCCATGGGCTATACATACGTCGGCGTTTCGGTGCCTAATCTTACTCATTTGGATCGTTCGTTCACAGCTCCTCCTTGGAATTCTATTATCATTTTTCTGTTCTTCAATGGCGTCAATGAAAGTGCTGTGTAGGTTATCGTCTGGATTGAAGCCTCTGCCTCTGAAGCTCAACAAGAAAGGGTCCATCTCAGTCTCAGTTTCAGCTGATATATCACTCATCAAATCGACATCTCACTCTCAGCCCTCTTCTTTCGCTAGAAGCTTTTCTCGAATTTCACAGTGAGTTCGTTATATCTTACACTATATATATGTGTGTGTGCGCTTGTGTACTCACTTTGTGTATATAATGATTTGGAATTGGTTAGATTACCAGTGGAGTTGAGCAGCGTGGAATCGATGATGCCGTTGCACAGTGCGATAGCCTCAGCTCGCTTGAGATCATGCTTGTCGACTGAGTCTCAGCGCTGGGGTTTAATTCCTCAAGGTTTTTTCTTTGATTTTTTTATTCAGTTATTTTTTATTTATTCATGATTGAAACTATTTGACATTTTCGTACTTTTTAAGCATTTGAAATGTGGGTAGATGGATTATTGGTTCAGAAGCCTTTTGCGTTTGTTATACTTGAAATTGATTTTGTTCAAATTTCGTGGAGAAATTAAAGTAAAATTGCTGCCAAAGGAAAACCCACTTGAGGCATGGTGGAATTAGTGCAGAAAATACAAGCCTTTTTCTTTACAGTTCTATATTCTATTAGATAAAATGCTTGATTATACATGTAACGTTGCGGTATATGTGTGCATATCTTGAAAGTACTTTTTTCAGTTAGGCATAGCATGCTGTCGATAGCTTTCATGATTGCGTTATTTATATTTCTGTGAGATTGTTTGTTGGGTGGTATGTGATGAGCAAATGACCCTAACAATTGGGCATATTGTTTCAAATTTGAGAAGTGGTCATGTGAGAGTCTGAGACACCTTAGAGGCAGAACTGCAGAGATGCAACCTTTAAGAAATATGAGGAAACATGATAATGGTGTAGAAGCTTTTCAAAAATGAAGTGAGCTACTCTGTTCTAACAATTAAATGGAAGTGACCGTCAATCTCAAAGTTTAAATGGATCGTTGTGTCCCTTTTCTTTTGGGCTTACGTAAATGTGTAAGAAACAGAATTTGATTGCAGTCCTTGAAGTTACACATTTTAGGGGAAGCTCCATTTGCTATTCCAAAGGGAGTTTAAGTAGCACACACGAAAAAAAGATGGAGTTTCAGTTATTATACTGCAAATTTTCACTTTAGCTTCACTTATCTGATTTGAATCGATATATTCCTGGTATCTTGTTATTTGAGTCGATAACCCAGTCATAGAGCCATGTTACCTTATTTTTACTCTGAAGTCTTTGTTCTCTCTCACTTTGTCACTTTGCTTAACTTATAACATGGCTTTACCAGTGGCTGTTTTAGCATTCTGATTTTCAGTCTAGGTTGTGAACATTACGATCACAATACTGGAATCTGGAATTGATGGTGATGCATTTTTTTATTTTTCATTCCTTCCCAATAAACCAACCGAATTCTTGGGTCTTAATGAGCACACATATATCTCTCACTACCATTGCTTACAATAAACTTTAGTGAACTGGCTACACTTCTATTAAAAAAAAAAAACTAGGTACACCTTGAAAATTTGAAAAGTTATTTAGACAAGGGATCAAAACATCACCATGGTCCTTCCGCAGGGATAGAGGCAGCCATGGCCCCCCCCCCCCCCTTCTCTTCCAGGGGTAAGATTTTAAAAGCACTATATACCCCCTTTGAAGTTTTAAAAAATATTATGCCTTCCTCTTAGATTTTTGATAGTTCTTATACATGATGTGTACTTCATCTTATTGGTGATCAGTGTTGACGAAAATACATGCTTGGATCAGGTTGATCATCAAAAGAAAATGAAGAAGTTGCTAAGTCGAGCTACAAACTTGACTTGTATCATCAATAGCGCAATGACTCATGACTCACAATGAATATTTATCGTGTGAAAGTAACCTTTTTTTGTGATAATTTATTTGTAATTATTACATTCATGACACAAATGAAAGAATACTGGACCTCGATAGTGTTTCAAATTAATTTTTATTTTGGGGAGTAAGTATAAATTTTGGAATTTTATGGTCTAGACTAATATTTATGATGACATAATATTAAAGTTGATATTGATAAATTTTATACAACTAAAAATTTAATACTAACGATGACTTATTAAATGACTCAGTTGAACTACATTCTGGATTGTGTCACTATTTGCCCCCCTCATGATAAAATCTTGACTATGTCCTTGTCCTTCCTATAATTTTTGCATATTTGAACACTAGCTATAATATTAGATAGATATCAAATTTCGTGCTTATGGTTTTTAAAATTAACTACCACTCATTAACTTTTATTTTGGAGAAGTTTCCTTTACCATTTTAGGTGGTTTCTTTGTGTCTATGTGCTTTATTTTCTTCTTGTTTGTCGGTGTGTGGGGAATTCCTATGAGTTGCTGTTGGTTTAGTTGTGTATCTTGATTTCGAAAGACAAACCTTCGTGTTTCATTGACTTTGATAACCCTTTCTAACACTTCCTCTGTGTCCATATTGCAGGCATCTCATTGCCTTTATGACAGCGTCTTGGGGAGAGTCCAACCGAGGCAGAATTTTTCTGTTGAATAGGAATGTAGGTCGCAAGTTTCAATTTGTTTAGTCAAAAGCCTCAGAAAATTAAAGAAGTCCAGTCGTTTGGTAACTTATTGATACCATCTGCCTGCAGTGGTTTTATTTTTTTTCCTTGTTCCTTGCAACTTTTTTTGCCCATGCCCTTATTTGAGGATAGATGAGATGTCACTTGACCGTCAAGGAGATTGTTACACTGCCTTTTATGAAAGTTACTAAACAAAGAAGTTTGTAGCTTGGCTGCTGTTTTTCTTCCACATTACTTGCATTGTTCATGTACTTCATCTTTGGTATTGATTGAACTGCTTTGAGACAAGGTTGTGGCAGAGATGCTAAAATCCAAATAATCAGCTCTATGATTGCATGCCAATGTTGTGTTCGCAAAACAGAAAAACCTTTCTTGTTGGCTAATAGGATTTGGTGGTGTTTGTTGCATATTAGGGTGAGAACCCAGCCTTGTTAATGAGTTTTAAGTTTGTGCCTCTACATTCACATGCGAATGGTGGGTAATTTCTGCATTCTGCTTCCAGTTTTTTGCGAATGAAACTTTGACAAACAAGGAGAGGGGTAAGGACATTGGCAATGTGCTAGAATCTTGAAGCAAAGTCTTCAACATAGTAGCAATGCTGGATGAGATTTTATTGCTTCATGAATGTTGATTGTGAATCCACTCGACATATATGCCTTGCAGTGTGGGAGGAGCCACCATTCAAAAAACAGATAAAGGAAGAAGTGACGACAACCCCTTGATTGTCATGTTGCCTCCATACAAGCCCCTGGTCACCAAGTTGAACTCGACCGTGCAAAGGACAGCCATGTCCAGCTTTGTGGGTTCCCCCTCTGCTGCACCAAAGGTCATTCCCCAGCCACCGCTCAAAGAAGCAGCCCTGCCAAACATTCATGAATGTCTGCCCTGTGTTTTGTATCTGCTAAACCTATGTAAACCAAGCAAAGTGTAGTGTATCCTTTCAGATCAATTCTTCGCTACAATTGCTTTGGTCCACCCCCTCGGTGAAAAACCGTACCAAGGAATTCCTACCAGCAGATTATTGTAGTATGATTGAAGAATTCGTGACAAAAAAAAAAAAAAAAGTTCATAAAAAGCTAAATGTCACCATTTTCGTTTGAATTTGGAGGACATTGCAATCATATATATCTAAAGAGCAATGTTACATAAACTTAAAAAATAGACTTAAAAATTAGACTTGATAATTTTAACCATTGATTTTATCGTGGTTCTCAGTATTTATTAGGACTCACTACCTATTCAATGGTTGAAATTATAAATCTAATTTTTAAGTCCATCTAGCATTATTCATATCTAAAATATGAGTAGAATTACCCTCGAATATCTGCGTCTGAAAGTAAAACCTTTTCACAATTTCTCAAGTTGTTGTGCCTTGTGGCAGATTGGAAGAGTTTAGAGTGCAACACTAGATATTTTTGTTACCCATATGGTTTTCTCTAAAAATGAATTCGAAATCCTGTGAGCTATATATCTATATTAAGGGTAAAAATTGTGTCATGCCATCATATCATTACGGGTTCATATCGAGTAATAGTCAACCGCAAAAAAATTCATTTAATTAATCGTATCATGATTTGTTTATTTTTGTGTCGCGTTCGTGTTGACTCATATAACTTGTGAATAAATAATTTAATGCTAAGCTATAAGTCTAAAATTTTATTATCACTTAATTGAATTTATGCTCGTGCTTTTTTTATAAACTAAAAATTAACTTAATAAACGTAACAATAAAATGATTAAAAATGTTTTCTTTGTACAATAACTATGTTAATATTTGATAAACAATAACAAATTATTGGCATTTTTTGGAAAGATAAAATTATTATTTTTTTCCGAAAATAAATTATTGGCATTTTATTCTTATAATATTAGTTAAACATGTTAATCGTGTCAATTTTGTGTTTGACACTAATCTAACTCATTTATTATTCGTGTTAATGGGTCGTGTCATTTACGAGTTCGTGTTGAAAAAATGATCAACTCTAACCGACTAATTTCGTATCAATTTCTCATCGTATTTTCGTATTGGATACAAAATTATCACATCTAAACTACACATTTTGGCAGAGATTCATGTTTTACTATTCCGCTCCAAGTCAAAAAATTTTCATTCTAACTTACAAATTATTATTTAGGTATATTGCATGAATTCTCTTGCCATTCTACTATGACTGGAGCCATAATAATCTCAATTAGCTCACAAATTATGTTTTTTTTTTTTGAATGAAACGGTAGAAAACTAATTTATTCCGGCATTATGACTCCAGCTCATTTTGTTTACTTTAATTACCATGATCAACCGCATAACTTTTGTCCCATTCTGTATGAACTAGGGCTATTCTTAATTGAATCACAAACTATATTTTATAATATATGACCCCTCTCTCTCTCTCTCTCTCTCTCATTCTATTCTGACTAGGGTCATTTTATCAATTAAATGTCTGTATTTTTATAATATAAAGTGACATTTGGAGGGGGAAAAAATACAATTGAGAAGCCAAAAAGCTCAGTGGAAACATCCTGTCTTTGTCCGTTTACTTGGTGGGTGTCTGACAAAAGATTATTAATACGGGGATAATTTTATGATAGGATAATGTTACGTAATTCAAATTTGTATCTCAAATGAAGGAAAATCATTGGATGAGTAGATCTCATTTACAAAAGTTGATGAGATTCTTTCATCTAACAATTTTCCTTCATTTGAAATGTAAATTTAAGTTACATAGTATTTTCTTTTATATTATCAATTTAAAATTCAATATGATATCAAAAGTTAAATTCTAAATTACACATTTTAGAAGTAAAATTACAATTTTTTGAGGTAAATTTATGATCGATCATGAAACGCTATGATCAATCATAAATACCCCTTAATAAGTTGTAGTTTACATTCAAAAGTTTTACTTTTTATGATCCATGATGAGAATTTAAGACCAGTCATGTCATTTTCAGTTGTAATTTTACATTAAATAATTAAAATTTAACCTTGAAAAATTATAAATTTTAATTTAATTTTTTTTTTATAGAGCGTCTAGACTTGTATCGATTACTTCTTGAATTCTGAGCCGACTACCGTAATTTGAATTAATTTAATAATATGTCCCCTGAACAAAAATGGGTGGCCTTTAGTGGGTGGAGAATGTATCAAACTTAAAACTTCTCATTTTTAAGTGGACAGACTTGACTGGCCTAAGGTTCCTTAGAGCATTTCTAAAAGAATGATTAAACTCCAAAATAACTAAAATTTGGCTATTCAAAGGTGAAAACACATGTCCCAACAGAAAAATGTTTAAAGTATGTAAAATATATTTTTGCTACAATGATGTTCTATATTTAAAGTAGATTATATATAAATAATTTATATTATATTCTCTTTACTTTTGTCATTTTTTATCTCTCTTGTCCACTCTTTATTTTTTCTTTCATTTTTTTTCTCTCCTTTTAATAGTCCCAACAAAAGCACCAGATGTGAGAAATAATATTTAAAAAAAATAGTTAAAATATAAATTTTTTTTTGAAGTATGTATTAAAAAAGTAAATAACTAAAATAAAAAAAATACATTTTTGTATAGCAAAAATACGTAACCTCTCCCTTACCTTAGTCTTCCTATAATGTGGAGGGTATGTATGTAAATTCGACTTAATAATGGCAGAACCGTCTTATTTTATCTTAATCCCAATCCGACAGAGATTGCGAGCTTCTACCAACGGCCACACATGGTCTCCTTCACCTTCAAACCGCTGCAACAAACCCAACTCTTCTCCTTCACTATCTGTAAGTACCCTTCAACTTTGAACTCTTTTAAATTCCAATATCCAGCAAGCATTCACACTTTTTCACGTACTAAACACACACTTCAACCAAGATGTTCACCATTTCTTGAAGTTAGAGCACAAGTTACCCACTTGGAAACAGAGTTGTCTATTACCGAAAAAGAACTCTCCAGGAACACCCTGAATCAGAGAAATAGTGATGAAATTGGTTCTGGGTTGTCTTCTTTAAGGCCTAGAGAGAAAGGGGTGGACAAAAATATTGAAAAGAGGGTCAGACAAAATGGTCATGGCAGGAAGAGATTTGGTTTTAATAAAAGGAGAGAAAAAGGTTATGGGATTTCTCCAATGAGATCTAAGGATCAAAGTTTATCGAAGGAAACTTTGGAAACTAAAGGTGATAATGTAGTTAGTGAGAAGATAGGCAAAATAGCTAAGAATAGTTATAGTAATCGGTTGGGAGAAGAGAAGATAGGAAAAGGGTCTAAGAAAAATAAGGCTAATTCGTTAGGAGCTTTGTTGAGGGTTGGGTTGGATATGTGCTCAAAAAGAGGGGATTGCATGGGTGCAATTAGACTCTATGATTTTGGTAAGCAAGAAGATATAAAGGTGGGACAGTACCACTATGCTGTGCTTTTGTATCTTTGTTCTTCTGCAGCTACTGGTGTTGTTCAGCCAGCGAAGAGCGGGAGTGGTAACCGGAGTTTGAATGTGGTGTACTCATCTAAGAATTCTAGTGCTGGTTCTCTAGATTTTGGCGAACTTGAGAAATTGGTTGAGGGGAATTTTGGTGGAAATGAAATGAATTTGCCGGTTTCAAACGATAGGCTGTCGCTTGAATCTGGTAAAATTCATGAAAACATTGATAAAACAAAGTTAAAACGCAATAATTTTCCAGCGGAAGTAGCGCAAGATGATGCACAGAAGAGTTTCAATGGGCAGAAGAACTTAAGCCAATTGATTAATGGGTCTTTACCACATCCTCAAAATTTGGATGAGCTGATTCAGTTGCTGAAATACGATAATGATTCCTCAAATAGAAAAGTAGTGAATGGTGCACGAGGAGATAATGGAATTCAAGTAAGTGAAGATGTCAAGAGCTATGCAGTCCGGAGGGGATTTGAAATCTATGAGAAGATGAAGTTAGACAATGTCCCAATGAATGAAGCAGCCTTGACATCTGTGGCTAGAATGGCAATGTCAATGGGTGATGGTGACCTCGCATTTGATCTGGTAAAGCAAATGAAGACATTGGGGATTAACCCTAGATTACGGTCTTATGGTCCTGCTCTATCTGTGTTCTGCAGTCGTGGTGACATCGAGAAGGCATTCACTGTCGAAGAACACATGTTAGAGCATGGTGTCTATACCGAGGAGCCTGAAATGGAGGCCCTCTTGAGAGTGAGTGTAGAAGCTGGTAGAAGTGACAAGGTTTATTATTTATTGCATAAACTTAGAACAAGTATACGACAGGTATCACCTTCTACTGCAGATTTGATTGAGAAGTGGTTTAAAAGCAAGGTAGCTTCAAGAGTGGGGAAAAGGAAATGGGATAAAAAACTAATAATTGAAGCAATTCAAAATGGAGGTGGAGGCTGGCATGGGCAGGGCTGGCTGGGTAGAGGAAAATGGATTGTTTCACGCACGTCTGTTGGAGCTGATGGCTTATGTAAATGCTGTGGTGAAAAATTGGCCACCATTGACCTTGATCCTACAGAAACTGAAAATTTTGCAGAATCAGTTGCAGCTGTAGCGGCACAGAGAGAGAAAAATTCAAGTTTCCAGAAATTTCAAGTACAAAAATTTTCTCAATAATATGCTCATCCATTTTAGTTTTGTATGTGGTCCAATGGAATGAAAAGGTAAATTTTGTTTGCAGAAATGGCTCGACTACCATGGACCATTTGAAGCAGTAGTAGATGGGGCAAATGTCGGCCTTTTCAGCCAAAGGAGACTCAAGCCGTCAAAGGCAACTATTTAAATATGATGAATTTTATATAGATTCTCTGTATTTTTGGAGGTGGTAATCATTTTTGATTATATGGTGAACTCTGTAGATCAATTCTGTTGTAAATGGAATTCGGCAGATGCTTCCTTCAAAGAAATGGCCACTTATTGTCCTGCATAATAGGCGCCTTACTGGAGACAAGATGGACGAACCATTCAATAAGGCAATAATTGAGAAGTGGAAAACTGCTGATGCGCTCTATGCAACGCCAACTGGATCAAATGATGATTGGTGAGGATTAAATTTTCAATTTTTGTGGGTTAATTTTTTCCACCCAAAGTCTACATGTTTATTTTTTATTTTGTTAATAGGGTGGCTGTAGTCATGATGGTGTTTATGTTAGTTTGTATAATGCTTTGAATTGCTATGGATAGTAACATGTTCTTCAGGTACTGGTTGTATGCAGCTATAAAGTTTAAGTGCTTAATTGTGACCAATGACGAGATGAGAGACCATTTATTCCAACTTCTAGGGAATGATTTTTTTCCCAAGTGGAAAGAAAGGCATCAGGTAATTGATATTTTTCTGGACTAAAACCTTATCTGTAATTTATGTTTCTGGTTTGGCTTTATGAAGATGATTGGAAACTCCACCAAAAATAAAATCAAATAGCAAAGTATATTGAAGATGTTTCATGGAGACCACAAGGAAAAAGTAAAGAAGATCTGCTATATAGACTCTGTTTCTCACTTTTTCTCACTCTACTTTGGGGCCATCCATCAAGGATTTGCGCTGGAAATTGCCTGGTGAGTGGTGATTGTGTGAATGGAGGACTGTATGTGCTTTAATCCTTTGAGTGCTCAATACCTGGTTAGTGGAAACTACATAAAAAAAAGAAAGAACTACTGATCTGGATCACCTCCTTTAGTTGACATTCTTTGGTCTATCATTAAACTGATAGTTGTATTTATCGATTGATGCTGTCTAGAACACATTTTTCTTGCTTATCAGTGACACAGTTTTCCCCATATCTCTAAAGGTCCCTAGAACCGACATACCTGTTATCCTTATTATAATGATACGCAATTCATGTTCTGAGATGTTCTTCTCTTAATGAAAGGTGCGATTCAGCTTTTCTGATGTGGGTCCGGTGTTTCACATGCCGCCTCCATGTTCTGTTGTAATTCAGGTAAGTATTACACAGTTCCTGGCCTGCTTTTCTTGTCTGTGAAAACAAATAACAGAAGCATGAGCATATACTGTCATTCACGAAATCTTAACTCCAAATATGGAAGCAAAACACGTGCACTCAAAAAACTCAGACACATGCGTGTATGTGATTTGGATCTAACAGAAAAGAGACATGAGTACACCCTGAAGTGATGTTGTAAATTAACAGGAGTCAGACAGAGGCCACTGGCATATTCCAATGGTATCTGAGCAGGATTATGAAAGGGAAAGGATGTGGTTATGCATTACACGTACCAAGTCACAAAAGGCAAGGCAAGATTTTACCAAGATAAATGAAGGTAGTTATCAACTTTGATTATGCAGTGATTCTATCCTTAGTATTATTATTTGGAAACACAAATACTTGAGTCCTTCACTAATTTTTTTTTGGTCAGAAATCCTTCACTATTTAAACCCTTAAAATTGTCATTTTCTGATGCTGTGTTTGGGTGGTCTCATGAAAATTGAAAATCATTTCAGATAGCACTTTCTTTTCTTTATTCGCTTTTTTGCATGTTGTCGGTAAGAATACTGTTCCTACACATTACTGTTCTTTAGAGTTCAGAAATATCTGAACTCGTTAGTTTACTCCCAGCTATCTCAATAATCAGTCTCAACTTGGGAGGAAGAATTGGACATTTTACTTGTAGATGTCCAGACCCTATGCCTATCAGCCTATACTTCCTGTTTATTGTAAGTAATATTGCGTTGATATTGTATGCCAGTTATGCTACTTTGGCAAAGGTACTCTTCAGTGATGGACAGATGTGAGTTGCTGGATATGATGAAAAATGCATACAAACTTAAGTGAAGCTATTAACCAACATGTTAGACCATCTCAGCAGATGCATTTTATGCATAATTTAGAAACTTCAAGCCAATATAACTCGGTGTCACTAAGGTCGCATGTGCTCCATTTTGGTTGTCCTTTGAAATTGTCTGTATCAGGTACCTCGGTCAGGCCTGACTCTGTTTCATGATGTTTAATTCAACCTTTGATAACAAAGTTGTTGGCTAATACATAGCTATTTTGAGTGTTCTTTTTTTTTTTTGGCGATGTGCAAGCAGTAGCTGATTGGGTTCTAATTTTGGTGCACACTCCTTGATGGGCATATATTGCTAATTCTGTGCATAGTAATTTACGACTTACAAACCACTTTTCAAGTTATTTTAGTTTGAAAGAAAGTGTCTATGTTCCATGTTGATTCATTAAGCCCCACAGATTCAGTTATGGGGAAAGCCTTATTGAAATACTGAATTGTCTTGTATCAACTAGAAGCTTCTCAGTGCAAGAAGGGGCGTGCAAACTCAGGTACTGAAGCTCAGGTAAAGCTACAACCATTGAGGCATGGCAGACCTGATAACACTAAGCATCCACCTCAAGAATTTTATGGAAATCTTAGAAATCTTCTGTCATCATCCATCCTTGAAAATTGCGACACGATCCTATCAGAAATTGAGGCAGCAGAGAGGGTTGGCCGCTGCATTATTGATTTTCAAATCTAGGGTGAATGGCAGTGAAGTTCAGGTCCTTGAGTCACACTTGCAGTTGGATGCCTACTCCGAACCAAAATCCCCTTGTATAGTTCTGATGCTGATTGAGCCTTTTTGTCCCTGCAAGAATTTTTAAGCCTTCAAAACTGAAGGATGACGGTTCCTTTATTGTGCAGGCATACACAGATGATCAACTCTCTTGCCATCTAGTAGGTTAGAGAAAAATTTCTGTATTCTTGTTTTGTAGGGAGGGAATGCGTCTGCCTAACTCCTAATTTGAGTAGCAGTCTTGTGTCTTCTCTTGTAAATATATGATTTGTACACAATTCTGTAAATTCAGTTTCTTATATGAAATATCTTGCTGAAACATAGTGGTGTTGTTGATCTGAATGATAATTAACCAGCCCATGCACGAGATATTTATTTACTCGAGAAACACCCTTCATGCGTAGCATGTTATGAAGAATAAGAACAAGAAGCAAGAATTAGAAATATGAGTATAATTGTTTCTATCAACAATGCTAGAATCAACATCTTACACAAACCAAACTCAGTGGTGAATAACTCATACTTCCCTATCCACAAAAGGAAGGAAGAACAACAAAAGAAATACAAACTAAATGGCTCCTCTAGAGTCCGAGTATTTACATTCAATAGGTAACTCTCTATACTACTATAGGTTGTGCTTCCTTTTGTTCAGCCATGCCTCTCTCACCTTGTCTACCTCCTTCTCTCTAGGCTTCTACAGTCAACAGTGTTAATGTCGAGCTGTTGGACTTCGTAGGCAATTTTCAAGTTTTTCAATGTAGGAAAACTTCTTGTGGGTTACGATATTAGCTGGTTTGCTGTTAGTCTTTTCATTTTCATCTTGTGAGGAAATATTTACGTTGTTAGTTGAGAGATTCTTTCTCATGTCTGTCTCTCCCTGATCCAAATTCCAACCCATGAAGTCAGATAGTGTCATTGAAGATGGCGTCTCTGGGGAATTTAACTTTTCTGTCTCTTCCATAGCACTGAGGAGACTCCCTGGTGGTGGTGATGCTAATGGTGAGGAATCCATTGAATGCTTCTTCCTGGATGCTGGAAGTGATGGATCTTGAGTGAGAGAATCAGCATACAGGACATCTTCAATACGTGACGTGACTGTATTGGCCAGGCTTTCTAGTACCCTTGAATAGCTCTCAAGAACAGAATGCCCGACATCCTATAGTAGTTCAAAAAAAATAGTAAGGCTGTAGTTTTATTCATCCTGGATAACCAAATGTCTTCCTATATAACTGAGCCAAAAAAGATCTCTCCTGCAGTTTTTTTGTTCTTACTCTGTTGTATTGGATTTTACTTATGTCAAGTGAAGATTGTGGAAGTCCAGGGAAACGCTGTTTGAGTAGGAGTAAGATGGTCTCTGCCCTCTCTTCAAAGAGCTCCCTCTTCTCTAAGCTTACAGCAGAACCCCAAGTAGACTTTCCATCCTTATGGTTCATCTTCCTCCTCCAAATCACAATAGATGCCTCAATTCTGTTCTTGAGGTCAAGAACTTTGTGCTCTGATGACAAGTCCAAGGTTGAAAGGAACTGCTCAGGATCGAAGTACTCAATTGTAATGTTCTTGTAGAGTGAATCACCTAGGCTTGATCTACCATTCTACCAAATAGAGTAACGGAAAAAATAAAGCTAAGTTGAGTATTAGAGTTCTAAATTTTTTTTAAGGCGTAAAAACTTTGCTCTTATTGTACCTTAGGGAGAGAATCGATGTAGTTTTCAGGGACCTCCATTTCTGATAGTATTTGAGCATTTATGGCCAGGGATGCTTTCAGGACTTGGTTCACGCATTCCTTTTGATACTGCAGCCATTTTCGTGATGCATCCGATAGCCCATTTGCTGGAACTTTAACTGTAGGTAGCCACCATTTGTCGTTTCTCTGGACACCTTTTTCAGACTCATCAGCATCTCTTGAGACATACCAGAATTCATTATGCTCTTTGAAGTTGTCTAGGCAGTCCTGTTCATCGTTCATTTGATCAGAATAATAGATGGTATAACCCACAAAAGCATATTTTCTTTAACAATGAGACTGCAGGTTCTTACAATGAGCATTGCGTCGAGCTTGCGCAAGGCTGGGATGTTCATGAGCAAATCTCTTCTTTGTTGAGTTACCATTATCTGTCAAATTCATCAAGAACTGTTGAGGTCCATAATGTGCTAAAATCATAGGTAAATGTCAGGATGAATTAAGTGCCATTGCAGTTCTGAGTTGTAAAATACATAAGAGGATGTGAATACACTAACAGGAGAGAGAGATTTGACCTCCATATTTGTTCCATCCTTTGATTTCTGTTGAGAAGGGAGTAATTCAACAATGTAATCCGTTACAGATAAGAGCCAATCAACTTCTTTTCTCCATCTTAGTTTCCTCTCTGCAGACATAGGTTCCAACTTCCATTGCTCACCAAAAACAGAAGCTACAGCATTTTAGAAACAAAAGATACATGGAAGGCATCAGAATTTTTCATCATTTTTGGCTCGTTTTCTAGATGAAGAACAATGCTAATAATAGGGACCATATCCCAGAAATCTCAATGTAAAGGAAATAAAAATATTAGAAATGAATGGAGAACAAAGAAAAAGCCATAATAATTTATCACAGATGTTAGAAACTGATAAAAACAACTTGGAGATTCTAATTAAACTTACCAGCAAGATTTGTGATGGCATTTGATAAAGCCAGAGCTGATGAGACACCCTTCCCACCACCTGACATGTCCTCCCCCAAAAGCAGCTTAGCAAACCTTTCCTTCATTAATTCCATATCTAATCAAAACAAAAAAAAAAAAACATGAAGGAGACTCGTGAAATGGGTGATATGAGGTGTTTAGACATTTCAATTTCAAATGCAAACAACAAAAATGCAAATTAATCAAGATATAAAAAGTGCAGTTCAACACGCGAGACACAACGGGATTCGAGGAGAGTCAGATTATGCAGTTTGAATCCTATCTACTGTGAATTGGCCACAACAACATAGAGATATCTCCATTGAAGTATAAATTGATGTAATTGGATGAGATTTCGAAAGAAGTACGGGTACCTGAAACCTGCCGGTCCTTTGCTTGGGGGCCGCCTGTTCTTGCACCTTCATTGCTCAACCTTGAAACCGGACCCCTATCGCCCGATCGATTCAGAACAGTACCTATTTGCTGGGTATCTAACGAAACAGGTCTCGCACCTTGACTTCTAAATTGAAACTTCTCGTCCAGTGTCCCTTTATCATCTCCATTCTCATAGATTAAACTGTGAGCCTGTCGGGTTGGAACATCAAACATCTTCCTAAAATGAAATGAAGCTGATTTCCGAAAGCTGTGTTCTTCTTTAATCATTTATGTTTGATTCCTATGGTTTGTGAATACTATGTTTCAACTTTAGAACAAACACATGACGAACATGGGCAATCATGAAATGCCTGTACAAACCCGGGAAAAAAAAAACAGGAAAAATGCAGATAATCTTGGTCTGAAATGGAAATGGGAATCAAAGAAAACCCCTGTTCCTGAATGAGAAGCTAAAGATGAAATGGAAAAGGGATTTTGTGAATTTTCCTAGTTGAAAGGAGGAGAGAGATTGTGTAGTTTGTGTATTTTACTTTTTTTTGAGCTGTGGAATGTGGGGTGCATGTTTTATTAGAAAAAGGAAGAGAGAGAGAGAAAGAGAATAAACAAGATATATATAGTTTTCTTTGGGTTGGTTTAAAGGAATGAATGGTTGAATTTTGTAATGGTGGCAAAAAGCCCGGGAAAGACACACATGGACAACTAACTCTCTCCCCTAGAAGGGCAACTAACTGCCACCTAACCACCCTTTCATTTTCTCTTTACTTGATCCTTCTGAATTAAAATTATGCCCATAAGTAAACCATTTTTAACTCTTCTCCATTCTTTTGTTGGGATTCTTTGTGTGCGTGTGTGTGTGAAAGAGGGAAAGAGGAAGAGGGGGGGGGGGGGGGGGGG